AACAGTGACACGGAGTATAATTCAGATTCTTCAGATTCTATCAGTGATGCCTGCGAAGTAGTTGAAGTTGAGGATGTAAGAGCTTTACGCGATGATAATGAAGAGAGAAATTCGTATATTTTACGCGAATTGAAGAAATGAGCCATAAAAAGAATTTCCTGCAAAAAGATTGATGCACTTCTTAGAGTGCTGCAAGTAGTTTTCCCTATTCTACCAAAAACTTTTCAAACTTTAATAAAAACTTCTAGAACTACAGATTTTGTGGACATGGAAAATGGTAAATTTTGGTATAAAGGAATTTATTACAGTATTTTATCGCGGTTGTCAGAAAAATATCTTATTAACAGAGAAATTATACGGTTTGATGTTAACATTGACGGTCTGGAATTATATTCTAGTTCGCGTAAAGTATTTTGGCCAATATTGGGTTGCCTCGTGGATGAAAAGGAACCGTTCATAATAGCAGTTTATTATGGAGAGAGTAAACCTCCACTAGAATCCTTCTTGCGAAAATTTGTAGATGAACTCTCTACTTTAATGACAAATGGAATTATATTTAATAACTCTATGTATCATGTTAAAGTACGGAATTTTATTTTGGATGCCCCTGCAAGAGCATTTATAAAATGCATTAAAGGACATACATCAAGGAAAGCTTGTGAAAAGTGTCACGTCACTGGTGTGCGCTATAAGAATAGAGAAATTTTTCTGGATTGTGATGCATTTCTTTGTAATGATGAAGAGTTTAGATTAAAAACAGATGCTGCCCATCATATTCCCGGGATTACGTCTCCATTAGAAGAAATTGGAATCGGTATGGTGTCTCAGTTTAGGTTGGATAAAATGCACCTCTTATATAGTGGAGTTTTCCAGCGGTGGTTGGAGTTTGTTTTGGGAAAACAAGGATTAAATCCAGGACAAATTTCAGCGCGCAACAGAACTGCTGTTCTACAGCAATTGATGAAATTAAACATTATATTCTAGTAGAATTTTGCAGAAGACCTCGCAACTTATCGTATTTTGGAAGATACAAAGCATCAGAATTTAGAAGAATTCTTCTGTACGACGGTTTAAAAGTGTTCAGTTTGCTGGATCGAAATCTATACACAAACTACTTATTTCTGCAATGCGGAGTATATATTCTTTCAAGCCCATTTTTAGTTGAAATGGACGGTATGATTCAAATAGCAGACTTCCTTCTTCATTCATTTGTTCATCACGCTGCAGATATCTTTGGAAAAGAATTTATCACCTATTATATACATGCACTTTGTCACTTAGCTACAGAATGCCGTACCCATCTAGCTCTTAGTAATTTCAGTGCGTTTAAATACTAAAATTATTTGAGCATCATCAAACGTTGCCTAAGAGCACCATATATGCCTCTTCAACAACTTTACAACAGAGATTTTGAAAGAAGAGGCCGACTCATGCAGAAAAACACAATCGACGAAGAGCACATTAAATTAAATAAAAAATGTTGCGAAGAAGGCGATGAAGAGATTTATTTCAAGTTGACCATGCATGGAATGACACTTTCTACATCTGAAGCTGATTGTTGTTTTAAATAAAAAAATAGCGAGATAGTTGTTCTCACAAAAATTACTTGTGCTTTTCGTGGCGCACAAACTTCTTTACATGGACATAGGTTTAAGAAAATTTGTGACTTTTTTACATTTCCTATTCAATCTACTGACATAGGCATCTGTAAAGTATCGCAACTTGAGGAAGCTGAAAAAGTTTGGTCTCTTAATCAAGTACTTCAGAAATGTATTCTCATTCCTGTCGATAATAATAATTATTTATGTATTCCGCTTATTCATGGACAAGAACAAAATAAAGGTGAGATATTGAACTTCAAAAAATTGTATCTATACAAACCCTTTACTTCTTTTCTAATTTAACGTGAAAATGTTTATCTTATTAATTATTTTGTTTATTACATAAGCTATTGTTAATATTTAACTATACATATATATTTTTCATATGCTAAATGCTAAGAGTTCTTGCATTTGAAAAAATTCTAGTTGTAATCATAGGGCTGTAAGCAAATCGATAGTTACAGTGAAATATTCTTATTACATTGTGAAAATGCTTTATTGATCCATTTGTTTACAATCTTATGGTTACGACTACAACTTTTTCATGTGTAATGACCTTAAGAAATACCAAACTGTTTGACGTTCTAATTATTTATGGTCTATACTTATAATCTGATCTTATATTTAAGATTGTCTTATGGTTATATGGTAAATATGGTTTTGGGTCGTCTTAAGATTCCGTTTAACCGATTAAATAGCTGCACAGCATCGATGATTGTACTACAGATTTCATAAATATAACAGATCTTAAATATAAAAACGAATTACCGCTCTGAATGTCTATGTGTTGATACGATATACATGTCCCACAATTCTTAAGCTGAAGGCATTATTACTTCTAATGTATGATAATAAAATGTTCCCTTGTTTATTTTATTTACTTCTTTTATTTCTACAATTTTGATTTTGACAGTTTTATTTGACAGTTTTCAGTCGTTGTTTGGCCGGATGGTGGCATATGCGTGGTGGCAACTAAGTGGATGAGTAAATGTAAAGAAAAGGTCCGATATCTTACTCAATCCAAAAAGCCTACAAAACTGTTAATGTCTCTTGTAGAAGCGGAAGAAGATTGGGAAGAATTTAATGTTGAGTTCTTGCACAGTTACAGTAAGTAGCCTAGCTATAAGCTTTATGCACTGTGTTCAATTACGGATACTGAACTATTGTTTCTTCTCGTGTTTACAGAAACTTTTAACTTGGCTCATAAAGCTGCTATAATAGCTGCCGAAGATGAACCTATTGACTCCAATGTAGAGACTGATTATGAAAAACCACGAAAGCGTCAACTGCCAGACAGATTTATTCAGAGTTCTGATGATGATAACTGGCAACCAGAAAATATATGTACAAAACGTAAGCGGCAAATTGCAGGAAGATCTCGTCGAGAGATACAAGATACAGAGAACGAAGACTGTCAGGATGTTTCTTAAGTAAATAGTTACCAGCTGCCTCAAAAAATATCAGGGAACAACTCGCTGTATTAAAAGCTCAGCATCTTCAATCAAAAAAATTGAAGCTTAATGAATCTAATTCAAATACAAGAAAGAAAGTCTTGGCTGTGAAAAAATTAACAAAAATAGAAAAAAATGATAAAGTGTCTCCTAAAAGATCAGCATCAAAAGGTAATAAAAAAATTAAATCTTTATAATAAGATTCATAATAGTTTCTACTCATTTTTGTCATATTTGTATGAGTTATACGAACACATCAAAATTGATTTATGTTGTTACAGAAATTTTGAACTATGGAGAGAGTCTTGCAGATAAAGAAAATGTAAATACTGCAAATCTTCTATGTACATCTAAATATGTAAATCTTCCTGCCTGCAATCAGTCTATAGCTTTATTGGATAATAATAGTAAGCTTTTTCTTTTGTTTGCAAAAGTATTTTTATCGTATTTCTCTGATTATTTTTTTCTATATTGAGCGAGCATTTCTTTTTTACGCCACCATTCACAGAATGTAAATAGCGACAAATAAAAAAGAAAGGCTCGCTAAACATAAAAAAAATATGTTATTTGCTTACTTCTTATTAATATGTTTTGAATGTAAAGAGGAAATATGATAACAATACAACTTGACTTTGAAATTCCTGTAAATTAGACAGTATAAGCTTTGTTTCTTAAGGTTCTTCAGGAATGACTTCTGATTCAGATATGTTGCTCGCGACGCAAATATTAACAAGACATAAAATTAATTCTACACTGCATCAAGTAGAAGATGAAAAGGAACATGATGAAGCTTTTAATAACAGTGAGAGCTCAGTGTCGATTGATACTGCAAACTTTTCTTTGGAAAGTGAGAATATCTTATTTTTAATTATTCAATTTGTTTTCAATTATAATTTAATTATACACAATGTATTTTTGGTCAGGTTCTAGCAGCTTCTTCCACAAGAAGGAAAAAGAAATGTCGGTAAATACTCAATGTTTTTATTTCCATGTCAATTACAAAGTAAAATTAGAATAGATTAAGTAATTATGAATGTCATTTTCAGAGAGTACAGATATC